ACAAAATCTGTGAAACACTTTAAGAATATTGTAAAAGAAAGTCTAGAAATAACTGTATGAAAGTTATTAAAAAAAAGTTAAAACTTGTAAGAAAAATTTAAAACATTTATAAAATATTTGGTTTAAAAACACTTGTATTAAAATTATATGAAACTATAAAAAAAATTATAAGCAAACTTTAAAACATTGTATTAGAAAAACCTATAGGAAAAAAATATCATAAAAATGTTGTAAGAAATTATAAAGTCTTTAAGAATTATATAATAAAACAATTGTTCACATTTAGGCAACATTCTTTTTTTTATACATATTTGACAATTTAACTTTTTAAATGTGTTTACATATTTTCATTGTCACTTGCTACAGGTAACAATGATAATATGTGAACACATTTAACAAGTTAAATGGCCAAATATGTGCAAAAAAAAGTTGTCTAAATGTAAACAAGACGAAAAAGTAATTACCTTACAAGTCATACATGTAACAATGGTAATATGTGAACACATTTAACAAGTTAAATGGTCAAATATATGAAAAAAAAAGTTGTCTAAACGTAAACAAGACGAAAAAGTAATTACCCTACAAGTCATTTCCCCCCTAACATATTAGTGTGCTCTTTTCTTTTCCTTTGTAAGTAGGTGCAGTAAGAATGCCATTGACATATATTTAGAACCAATTCTTATAAGACTATCACACATGTGGCTCGCTTGGGCTCTCTCGAAGGTGGCAATTGGCAATGAGTCCCTTCTTAATAAGGCTTTGCGACTCCGGGTCATATCTGTTAAGTACGTCGTAAAGTAATAAAAAATTGAGATAATTACAAATTTAGCCAAATACACTAATTACCTTACAAATTTAGCAAAAAAATCAAAAATGCAATTTTAACCACTGAAATCACAGATGGAAATGGCCATCTGCGATTTTGCCCTTCCATCTGCGAAGGTACAAGCGCCTAAAGCACAGCTGTGCTTTAGGCACTTGTACTTTCGCAGATGGAATAGTCCATTTGCGATTTATCCTGTTCCATCTGCGATTTAAGTTGAAAAAAGTATAAAACCGGTTTTTTTTTTTCATTTTTCACTCTTCAATTTAGAAAAACTCTCTCTCTCGACGATTCCCTCTGACGATTTTTTGAAGAAAATGGACGATTTTTTTAACAATTCCGAAAATATGGTTAGATTTTAACTCTTTATGTTTTAATTAACATTTATTTAGTATATGTTTTTATTATTTTATTATTTGTTGTATTAGTTAGTGTAAAAAAATGAAATTATATTGTTTGTGATTGGGTAATTTTGTTGTATTTGATAGATTTAATATTACTTATTAGTAACCTTGAAGTTTTAATGCTATTTTCTTAGTGGTTGTATGAATATACAAGTATAGACTGTGTAGAATGTGCATTGGCTTGTTGTACATTTAGTAAAATGGTTAGAATATACTATTTTTTTTAAGTTCAAAGTTAAATAAATTGTTACAATATTGTTTACAATATGTTTGGTTAGTGGTTTAAGTTGAGAAATTGATATAGAATGGTTAGAATATGTTATTTGTCGTTTGTATAGTTGTTGTATAACTTGAAAAATTGTATATACTTGTCGTATAAGTGGTCGTATAACTTGAAAAATGGTTATAATAATGTTTACAATATGTTTACAATAGTCGTTTGTATATTTGTCTTTTAACTTGAAAATTTGTGTATACTTGTCGTTTAAGTTGAAAAATTGTTATAGTATGGTTAGAATATGTTATTTCTTTTTTAATTTGAAAGTTAAAAATCGTTTGTATACTTGTCGTATAACTTGAAAATTTGTATATACTTGTCGTTTAAGTTGAAAAATTGTTATAGTATGTTATTGTTTTTCAGCGTAAATATAGAAATTATTGATTGAATGTTGGTTTTTGCATTGTTTATGTTTGTAATTTGAATGTTGGATTATTATTGCATTTAATTTTCGGATATTTTAAAATGAAATAGTTGTTTAGTTTTCTAATATGTTGTTGTTTTTTGTGCAGCATGATTCTAATAATTTAAATGTTAAAGCTATTGTGAACTTAAAAGGATCGGGGTGTAACATTGTATATCTATTCAAATACACCAAAATAAAAATAAAAAATATATATTAAAGTATTAAAATACTAACCGAACAACCAAGTGCGACGTACAAAAACTCAAAGCGATCATCACCATCTCTTTTAATATGTGTCACCGTACCCGGATTATGTTTGACCAAATTGTGGAAAATAAGCCGGAAGTTTGGTAAAAGAATCCTCTTTCGTAACCCTTAACAACAACAATGCATATTGCTTTGCACGTCATGCCTGATGGTATGAGATATTGATATTCAATTGAGCATTCATATCATTAATAATATCTTTTCCCCGATAAACTCTACTATAATCTTCAGCCAAAACATCAGCAAGATATTCACCAAAAACATATTTGTTTGCTTGTCGATGATTAGGTTGCAAAATTGTTGAAAAACATTTGTGTACATCAACAAATTTATTCACTTGGAAAAGTCCATCAGAATTTTTAATTGCTTTTGCTCTTAGTAACCAAGAACAATTTTTCGAAACACACACAGCCTCATACCTTGATTTGGTGGATCTACTTGTCCTCGTCTGAAAACCTTCTCGAATACATTTTTACCAATAACCCACTTTAAAAGTTATTTGTTCTTAAATATACTCTCACATTCAATCTTTTGAAGATTGATGTCTACCATCTGTGTTGGGATATCTTCATTAATATCAACTGGACATGCTGGTAGAGGGGGCATACCGTAAAAAAGGTTATCGGGAAACTTAGCTTTAACTTCATCACCCAACTCATCTCCATCTGAATTGCTTTCTAAGTCGGTTATATCTAAAGCTACATCAGCAACATCAACATAATCCCCGTAAACATGCTTTTCTTCATCTTTTTGTCGCATAATTTTTTTTCTTTTTACTTTTATCTACTACACGCCTATTCATAACTTTAACTTCTTGTTCAGGAACATCAACACAACGACCACCCACGTCATTAAGATATGTACCAACATCATCATCACCAACATACTTGTAATTCTCAGGATCCACATAGTGAATAGGTGAATAAGTTTCATTAACATTTTCAGCAACACTGTGAAATTGAGGTACACTAGGAGTATTGAAAGTACCTATCGGATCATTGCTCCCTTTATAGCTGGATAAATTACCAACTGGCTGATTTCCACTCTGACCAGCCTCATTAACCTCATCTTCTTCATCAACCACCACAAACACTTTCACAGCCCTTCCTCCACTACATTTTTATTACATTTATCAACATTCTAATATTTATGTCTTCAACTATGGCTATATAATAATTCAATTCAGGATGATGGAAACGAAGACTAATTCTATATTTGTCTAACAAACCAATTTTGCTTCTCACCAAATATACAAAATCACTATAACTAATATACTCAGAAAATATCAAAGCGAATTCAAAAATACCTCCCTGTGGACATACGTATTCCAGATTTGTTTCAATAACTTGTCATCTCCCACCAGTTACAAGACAAACCAAATATTCAATCATTTTTTTTAGAGAAATTTTACACAAATTTCCTAAATAAATAACAAGTAAACTGATAATTTTCTACAAAAGTTTATATATAATAAGGTTATTTCGTAGTCAAACTCATTGATTTCATAGTCAAAATAAAAAATAAAAAATAAATAAAAAAAAACAAAAAAAACATTAAATCGCAGATCAAAGAGAGAGGAAATCGCAGATAGACACAGTCCATCTGCGATTTTAGCCTGGTAAACCCTATATATATACAAAAAAATAAATAAATAAAAAATAAAAAATAAAAAAATACCCCACCTGCGAATGTACAACTGGCTAAAGCACGTCTGTGCTTTAGCAACTTGTACATTCGCAGATGGGATGTGAAAATCGCAGATGGACCATTCCCATCTGCGATTTCGGTGGCCAAATTTGCAATTTCAATTTTTTTGGCTATTTTCCACAAAGTAATTAGTAAATTTGGCTAAATTTGTCATTTTCTCTAAAAAAAAATTATGGGTGACATTAATCTTGATGACCTTAATGTCAATTGAGTTTATTTTGCAATTCACTACGTGGATTAACTGGAATGGTTTGATTTTCATAGATAAACCAACAGTCTCATTTTAAGTATAAACTTTTATCCTTGAACCAAGTCAATTTCAAATATTTTTAGAGTCGATATAAAATATTTCACAAGTTCGATCGGCTCATTTTAAGTATAAACTTTTATCCTTAAAATATTTCACACCATGAACTTTATGATTAGTATTAGAATGCATATAAAATTTTTGTCATAAAGAGCAATAATTCACGTGAGACCGTATAAATGGAAATTTTTATTATTTTCCTAAAATCAAAACTGATAACATGTTTTGAGCAATAAATAATAATTTTTTTATATTTAGTTTCTTTTCAAAAAAATAAAATTTTCTAAATGTTAAAATGTAAAATACCCGTAATTAACAAATATATAACAAAATTTATCATTTTTTGGAATAAAATAATATACATGTGTGATATAACAAAGAAAATACAATTTAACATTTCATTAATTAAAAAAAAAATCACTGATGTTGATTTTTCATTTTTTTAGACTTACTTTTTTCAGAAAAAAAAAAACAAAGACACCAAAAAATATTTATTAGTATTTTTTATGCTATAAAATTTTGTATACATGTAGATATACAACTACAATATTTACAAAGAAAAAAAAAGAAAAACTTTTAACATTATGTATTTATGAATTATAACCTTTTTCGGGAAAAAAATACCAAAATTTATCATTTTATGTACTAAAAAATGATATCTATATCTGTAAAAAAAAAACAAATATTTTTTTGCTTTCGGATTGCCACCACGAGATTTTGTGTTCCTACATATATATAAAGTTATAAGTATATGTTATTGTTATATATATCCTAAAGAGAAAGTATTGCAAAATTAAAACAAGTATGATTGTCCATCCAGACTCCAGAGTCCATATGTACATATATTTTCTATACTAAAAGAGAAATCGCTTGTATATATGCATATACAGGACAAGACATGACCCCACCCCACCCGTATTTCACAAATCCAAAACAAGTAAAAGTTACGCAGTCTTCCACAAAACCCCATCCCCCAAGTATCAGTCGGCATCGTGGTATAGGGGCAAAGTAGGAATTTCCAGTGTGGTAGTAGTTAGTAGTGTTTGCAATTTATCAGTAAGCAGTCAAAGAAAGAGGCGTTGCAGTTGTAATACGTGTGTCCTCAAACTGCAGTTATGCATCTGGTTTTCATTCAAAACATGATTATATAAGAAATGATGATAAACGTGAAAAATCAAATAAAATAGAAATTAAAAGATAATTTGGAGTTTGATGTTTATTTACCTCCAAGTGTGTGAGTATTGACAACAGATCTTTGCACTGATTAATCTTGAAACATTCGTTTGTTGCTGTGGTTGCTAGTTCAGATGCTAAAGCATTCACATGCTCCACCTGTTGAGATTTAGTTATATTAAAATTGAATTTTCTATAATTTGGAGCAACATAAACTAACATTATATAGGATGCTTTTATTAGAAGGATATGATTTTGTCAAGAAAATCAAAATGCTACAAACTTAGAAAGTAATCCCCAATTATAAGTAGCCAACAATTACACGAAAGAGGAAAGGGGTTTTAACAAACCTTCATTACTAAAGAGCATATTGAGGATGCCATTGCTTGCATCACATCAACAGCTGAGCAAATAGCATCTTTTAAACTTTGAACATCCACCTGTAAAAGTAACAAATGTTATTATCAATAGCAATACAGTTTGTAAGAAGACATGAGAATGAGATAAAATTACCTTTGCACCCTCAACAAGTGGAAGACGAAGGGTAGCAGATTCTAGAGACACAATAGTCCCAGACAAAGAAAGAGAGTGATCTCTCTCACCTTGTTCCCACACTTTCAAATATGGGATCTGCATTTTTGTCAAATCAATGTTATATTGTTAATGTTATCACAAAGCAACAATAATTAAATATAAAAATGAGATGATTTATGATGTTCTTGCCTGATTCTTAAGGAGGGAGTGCAATTTCAAGTTATGCCTCAGCTGTTGTATCTCAATTTGTTTGGAGATGACAGACTGTCGCATTTTTGATGTAGTCACCCATGCATTATATAGACTTTTCTGAAACAGTTTGTTACAATTTGTCATTAAAAACCTATGAATAAAACATCCACTTAAGTGCCTCACTATTTATGTACAACAACCAAGAGTATAATCCACCTCAAATAATAAACACAGCTGAAGAGTAAAATAGGAAACACAATACAAAAACAAGGGTATAGCTTGCTATTCAGCTGCTGTGCATGTACCAATGCTAAAGACTGTTCAAATCTTACCCTAATAAAAGAATCCATATTATGCCACCTGTCATCTCCTCGACCCACTATTTTCCAAAGTTCAATTCCTATAATACCCTCCTATTATTTTTAACAACTACGTAGATCTTGCATATATTAACAACCCATTTGAACGCAATCCCGTGACATTAGGAAGAAATTGATTCCATTGTGAAGGACACTCAAATCAACCCTAAATGCCTATTCTTTTGTATACATTTAATAATTTTAATAAAATTTTAAATAATCAATATTCATTAGAATCATAAAATCATAATTTTAATGATAATATTAATGAAAATTTAAATAATCAATATAAAAGTTTAAACAAAACGTATCTCTTAATAATTTAATAAAATTTTATAAATCTTTGTTTTTTCATTACCATTTTTAATTATCAGTATTTTTTTAATTACTCGTGGTTTCCACGGGTTGTAACCTAGTGAAATATATATACTGATCATCTGTATGTGAGAACAAGAATTACAAGGCACTATATTTATCCAATCCAAACTAGTATCATTACTTTACATATTTAGATGTAGAAAGAATTACTACCAAGTACCATATGGCCTTTGAAGAGGCAAGATCAAGTGATTTAGAATATAAGATCATAAGATTAGCATATTAACCAATCAAACATGAAAGGCATGTGCACTCTCAGTTACAAAGAGTATCAAGTTGAATACCAAAATGAAAGAAGCATATAAAACACACGTAGATTTCATTATGCATACAAAAAACTTTAGATTTTAAGTAGGCATTACCTGAGCAGTTACTCTCTGGACTGACATGGCAGCATCTGCTCTTGCATTTGCAAAACGCCATTGCAAATACTTGTTGTGTAGAAGCCTCAAAACATGTGCATCAACAATGGCGTTCTCTCCTACCTTACTTCTCCTAGTTTCTGCAGCAAAGCTGAGAATCGAAGGCGTGCTCCCCAAATTACTGTTAAACCCTACTCCGTTCCGTGATCTTGTTGAACTAGGCATACCCCTTGATGGTGTAGGCACACTCTTACTTGGGGAAGAAGGCCTAGCAGCTCCTCTAACTGAATTGCTTGGGGAAGAAGGCCTAGCAGCTCCTCTAACTGAATTGCTTGGGGAAGAAGGCCGAAGAGCTCCTCTAACTGAATTGCCGGGGGAAGATGGCCGAAGAGCTCCTCTAACTGGATTGATTGGGGAAGCAGGTCGAACAGATCCTCTAACTGGACTAGGTGACAGTCCTCGTGGGGATAGTGTTGGACCATCTTTGAGATGCTTATGATTTCGGGACAATGGAGGTGAAAGGGGCTCCGGTTGTACTCTCCTGAGACGATTAACAGTTTCCTGCTTAAATCTAGCTGGCACCACAACTCCACGAGGTGTTCCACCTCTATTGTTACCTGGAGTGCCACCAGAACCAGAGAAAACACTTTCAGCATCTGAAACAGTACGATCGGAATTATCACAATCACTAATCATTGATTTTTGTAAATCTCTAACAGAAGTGGCTGTCCCAGATCCATTCAATTTCATATTCTCATTTGTGAAATCTACACTCCTGGTCAAGAAATTCCCCTGCCGAGATCGCGCTGGCCACCTTTGCTGATCAATCGGCTTTGGATTTACTGACTTTTTAACCGGCGTCGAAGCCCTCCTCTCCGGTGTACCATTTCTCGATCCAATATTAGCACCAGTGGGAGCCGGCTTGGATGACTTACTTACCTGAAGCGCAAACGATTCACCTTGAAACGAAACTGACAAACTCCTCGCCGGCAATGACGTTAGCATCTTCGCGGTGGTCGACATCTCACCAATCCGCGGAGTCCCAGGACGACGTCGGTCGGCCGACTGAGGTCGCTTATTATTCACCGTCGATGCTGGCGTCATCAGATTAGCTGAAGAAACTAACGGCGACGGAAACCGCCTCCTTGGAGTACCCGTGGAATTCGAAGACGCCGACGTCGTTGTAGAAGAAAAAGAAGACGACGAAGATGTCGACGTCATTGTAGTTGAGATAGAAGACGAAGAAACAGTAGATGATAAGTACCGTGAACTAACATCTCTAGATTTCGGCCGCCGTGGAACAGGAGGACCATTGTTATCAGCCTCAGAAGGTACCAACGGCGCACGCTTTGCTTTCGCCGGAGGAGGAGGGCCTCGTGATAATACCTTTGGGTTAGATGTAATTGTTGGAGAAGACACGTTAGCCACCATTATATCGCATCCTCTAATCAAAATTCACAGTTTCAAACCCTAATTCAGATCAAATCACAAATTCTAAAAGCTCAAAGGAAGATTTCAGAGAGAGATAGAGAGAGAGAAGTGTAAAGCGAATTAAATGTGTGTAAGATTTGGTATAATCGGGTGAAAAAGTGGTGGTAAGGAATCGGGATATAACCGTTACGTTTCGCCGGCGAGAAGATTGCGCGGAGGAGAGGGGGGAGTGGGTTTAGGGGAGATTTGTTTAGCATAAGTATAACTGTCCTTGTGACTCCCTGTCACGTGTGTATGCGGAAGCGCGTGATTCGACAATATATAGTTTCTTTGTTTTTTAGAAATTCTTCACCACACTTGATCGTTGATCCTCGTTACATAAATATCATAATTAAATAAAAGGAATTATTGTCTAAATTATATAATAAATAAAAAAATTTATCAAGTATTTTAATTTATGAATTGGAAAGATTTTGGTAAAACAATTGTATGAGTTAATAAGAAGTTTATATTTTGTGTAAGAACAAAAATAAGAAAATTTGTTAGTTAAAAACAAATTATTAATCCTTAAGTTAGCAGGTTTCATAATTATATTATATATAGTGTGAAAAGTTGTACCGGTAAAGCTTTGTAAAGATAATGTTGTCACTTAAAATGCTTAAATTGGTGCAAATATAAAAAGATTGGTAAAGTTTTGTATAGATAATGTTGGTCACCTAAAATGTTTAAATTGGTGCAAATATTTTAAAAAAAAAATTTTAAAAAAGTGTCACAACAAAAATCTTTACATATCATAGTAGTATTTAAAAGATAAATAATTAACCCATGACATTTTCAAGCCTTTCTTAAAAAATCATAAAGATTTGAACTTTTTGTACCAAATTATACTATGCGATGTTTTAAAAATTGGTTTTAACCGGTCGGATCGAAAACCGAGGACGAGAGTAGTTCAACAACGGCTAGCTTTATGTCAATTTCTGAACCGTATCGAAGTGGACGGTTTCTTCAAAAGCCGGATTGAATGGTGTGATAAAACTGGTAAAAACCCATTTGAACTGGGTTACTGAATTTTGATATTTGAATTTCACTTAGCCCATTAAAAAATCTATTTTTAAAGAAAAATTCAATAGCTCGATCGATCAGGTTATCTGAAGTGTATATAACTCAAAGATCGACACACACCACTGTCAGACGTAGACCAACGGTTAAACTGGTTGAACCAGGTGTCAAATCGGTTGAGCAGAAAACCGGTCATTAGACATATTCAATAAAAAAATTGATTTTTAAAACATTAATACCATGTCAAGTTGTACTATCACATAAAATTATTTTAAATAAACTTAAAAAATAAGCAAGTTTAATAACCATATATATATATATATATATATATATATATATATATATATATATATATATATATATATATATATATATATAGGGAAGGGTTATTTGGAAAACAAAAAACCCTAAAAAAACCCTAAAAATCATAAAAATGCATAAAAAAATACTTAGAGATCACAAAACTTTTTTTAGAATTTTTTTATGAAAAAATCGCAACTTTTTTAATAAAATCGCTGAAAAAAAAAATCAATTTTTTTTTTATAAAAAAATGGTTTTTTTTCAAAAAAAAATTCAACGATTTTGTATTAAAAGCAGCGACTTTTTCATAAAAAATTCAAAAAAAAGTTTTGTGATTTCTAATATTTTTTTTATGCATTTTTATGATTTTTAGGGTTTTTTGTTTTCCATAGAACTTAAACCTATATATATATATATATATATATATATATATATATAGATATATATATATATATATATATATATATATATATATATATATATATTGTACTATCTAATTTTTTAATATTATATTTACTTTTTATAAAATTTTTAGATATTATGTTTGTCCAATTTTAAAATTTTAAAATTATTTTAAATCTTTATTTTTATCAATTGGCTATTTATTATACATTTCTTACAAATTTAAGTTTTAAATATTATTTATATTTTTCATAAACTTTCTAAATATCACATTTACATAAGCTTTAATCAATTTTAATAACTTCAAAAGTATTAATAAATACTTAATTAATTCATACCGAAACAATTTTGCATATTTGTCATCTATATTTTCATCATAAAAACTTCAAAGATGTAAAGATCAAAATATTTTTTATTCTTAATATCGCACTACATGGTAATTGAATTGAGGTAAAACATTTAAACTTTTACATGCCCAAAATGTTTTTATTCTAACAAATTTACAAATAACTAAACATGGTTATGAAAATTATATGTACAAAGGACGTATTTCTTGTCTTCTTTTCAAAAACAACGAATCAAATGTTTATGTATTCATTAATAAGGAACATCATTCATACTCGATAGACATTCTATTTCGAAGAATACTTGTAACATTCATTTTTACAGAATAGATCAGTTGAACGTTTAGAATGATCACATGTAAGCTTTTTTTGAAAAAAAAAACATTGTTCCACCACGAGGTGAATGGGGCATCACGACATGACATGCCAATTGCATGAACGTTAATTCGGGATGGCCTTCACGACGTGATGAAATGAAGGTCACGGCGTGACTGCGGCTGCAGCCCAAACCCATGATCATTTTGTTGGATTAAGGTTTCTAAGCTCATAACTAAATTTGTATAAACTTGCAAATAGAAACAGAGTTCTTTTTGGAGTGTACTCATAACCAGATGTAGTTATAAATGATATTCGGGGAGAAAGAGAGAAATGATTTGTTAATGTATAATGTGATTAATATATTAATTGGGAATAGATAATTGATTTGTTAATTTGTTATGTGATTAATAAATTAAGATGAGATCGATAGTTAAATAATTGATTTATTAATTGATAAATTAATAAGAAATCAATAAGAATTAATTAATTATTAATCAGAATTAATCTGAAATTAATTTAGGATTAATTGGGATTAATTAAAGGTGCAAGGGGTCAATTTTAATTGATGCGACATCAACCTCCGGCGAGTCTTCTAGTCTTCTGCTGAGGCGGTGATCTGACATCACAGTGCAAAGGCGTTAGAGCCGCCCCAGGGATTGTGCCCCGGGAGCGGACTCCAACGGTCAAGTTAGATCAGCTAGAAGATCTGAGATGGTCCTCCATAGCTGGAGAGAACCATCTTGGTGCTAGTGGTGGTGTATGGTGGCTGACGGCGGCGGGTGGCGGCTGAGCCACCCGGCCGGAGTATAGTGGCGGTTGGGCCATGGGGTCTAGTGGTGGCTGAGAGCCACTTGGGGAAGAGTCCCCCTTCATGGAGGAGGCACTATCTATTTATAGTGGACAATTAGGTCAAGGGGAATTGGGTCAGGCCTTGGGCCAGCCCAATTCAGGCCCAACTAGCAAGGAGTTGGGCAAGGCCGCCCGGGCGCAGGGCGGGGCTGGCGGGCGCGCACCAGGAGAGGATGGCAAGGGAGTGTTGGGCGAGGGAGCGCCTGGCCGAGCCGGAAGGAGAGTCCCCAGCAGGGCTGGCAAGGGAGTCCCCAGCAAGGCTCGCAAGGGAACGTCAGGCAGGGCTGGAAGGAGGGCGCCAGGCCAGGCTGGCGCGCTAGAGCAGTCTAGGCCATGCCAATGGACCATATATCATCAAGTCCCCCCAGTCTGGTGTTATTGGTACGCGGCCAATGACATCGGACTGGAACTAGTCAAATAAACTGTGCGTCGTCAAGTCCCCCTAGTCTGATGCGATTGGGTTGCTGACAATCGGATCGGACTAGATAAAGCACCAATACAATAAATAATAAAGAGAAATGACCGAACCTCGCCCACGAGAGTCGTGGGGTTGTGCGAAGAGCCAAACATTGCTTATGCGGCTTGAGCTGACTTGATACTCCTTCATTGAGAGGAGTGCGAGCCGATCGGTGCGATGCGGACCGAGGGTGCTAAAGAGTGTTACACGACACTGATGTCGATGGAATGTCGGGCCGTGGTAGCTAAGAACCGTAAGCTTGCCCTTCAGTCCCTAAGACTGTTATGCGGCTCAGATGTTGTGGTAGTCATGTGCATATGGAATGTCACTGATATATGTCTACATAGTCTGCATTAATAACCGCCTTGAAGGTATTTCTTGCTTGGGCTACACCTAGCTAGATTCCCCCAGTCTGATGTGGGTAGTGTAGGTAGCCGTGTCAGACTATGTTGTCGAACCAATAAACCGTAAGGTTGTTGACCATAATATAAGTGGCAGAGATTCCGAGAGCTAGGCAATTGCTAGCGAGGGTCACGTAGTAAGACTATTGTCGATAGCCAGACAACAGAATTCTTGAGGAACAGGTAGTGAGGCTATAGGTAGGAAACATGCAGTGAGACTGTTGCCGAGAGCCAGGCAGCAGAGGTGCTAAGGGATAAGCGGTGAGGCCAGAGGTATGGGTTGCGCAGCAAGACCATTTCTGAGGGCCAGGAAACAGAGATGTTGTGGGGTACGCGATGAGGCTACAGGTAGGGTTGCACAGCGAGACCATTTCCGAGAGCCAAGAAACAGAGATGATGTGGGGTACGCGGCGAGGCTACAGGTAGGGTTGCACAACGAGACCATTTCCGAGAGCCAGGAAACAGAGATGTTGTGGGGTCGTAGGTAGCAGGGCCACTGTCGGGATGACCTTCTTGTTGGAGAGTATCCTCACTATAGCATGGTGTAATGTAGATAACACTTCATCGATTGTCCGAGCACAAGAGAAACATGATGACTGTGAGAGAGGAAGCACCAAGATCATGGTGTGGAATAAGCTTGTGATGCGCGACTTATGGTGCGCGACGATGCGCAATTTATGAGAATAGCGTGGGCTTAGAAGCCAGCGAACATGGAGATGTCTTGCGGGAAAGCATCGCATATAACAGATCGGGTTTGGCTGCTAACGATCGTAGATAGATCACGCGAGAGAGCATCGCGTGGAATGGATTGGGCTTGGCTGCCAGCGATCGTAGATAAATCACGCGGGAGAGCATCGCGTGGAATGGATCGGGCTTGGCTGCCGACGATCGTAGATAAATCACACGGAAGAGCATCGCGTGGAATGGTCGGGGCATGTTGCTATACTGGAGTCGGGCTGAGAAGCCAGGCGACTCGAGGCAAAGGTACTGAACCCTGCATGCGGAGCTTGCCGCTATAATGGAGTCGGGCTGAGAAGCCAGGCGACTCGAGGCGATGGTATTGAACCTCGCATGCAGAGCTTGCCGCTATAATGGAGTCGGGCTGAGGAGCCAGGCGACTCGCGGCAAGGGTACTGAACCTCGCATGCGGAGCTTGCCGCTATAATGG